ATACAGCTAAGTAAATATGCTTTCTGTAGAGGGAGACAGTATTTCTGTCTTCCAAAGTTGTAAGCAAACCTTTCCTTTGCTTCAAAAGGAGACTGTCACTATTTCTCAAGGCTGCTCATGATATAGACACTCATGAAAAGACAGGAATACAGTCAGAGCCCCTGCTTGCAAAATGTGCAGAGGCATGAGTCTGATGGAGAAATGTCGCTGATGGGAGGGCCCTATGATCTGACTGCTGGATGTCAGGGCAGTGAATGGCTCTATGCAGCCTCCTCTAACTTCTCAGGAAGTGTGAATGGTGGACAGCATGGGCCTCATCAGTGCTGGGCACACTGGCAACCTGAGGCTCTGTAGTAAAAAGAGTCACAGGAAGTTGCTGGGACAAGTCACTGGGACTCAGATCTGTGGTTTGTTGTTGACTCCCAGGACTTCCACATCTTGAAGGAAAGGCAATACCTACAGGAGGATGACTTCTAAGATTCCCCAGCAACTCTGAAACACGATTGAAGTTACAGAAAAACTGAAATGGTACTTCATATTTACATGCTGGAAGACTCAATATTAAAGTGTCAATTCTGGAATCAATCTTTAGAAGTAATGCCTGGTGTGGTGGCACATGCCTGTAATCCCAGTACTCGGCAGGCTGAGGCAGGAGGATCACTATGAGTTTGAGACCAGCCTGAGCTACATAGTGAGTTCCAGGTCGGTCTCAACTACATAGTGAGACCCTGTCTCAAAAAAAAAACAAAACAAAAAACCCAAAATTTAATCTTTAGAATTAGTGCAATCATAACCAAATTTCCAACAGGATGGTTTACAAACTATTAACAGCTTGAACCTGAAATTTGTATGAAAATCAAAGAAATTAGAATAGCCAAAGAAATTTGAAAAATATAAACTATTCGGAGGATTTAGATTATCTGACTTTAAGATGATTAGCATACAACTACTTATCAAGTGGAATAGAGTCCTCACACTTACATGGCCAAAACGATTCTGTGAAGTAAAGGTAAATCTTTTCAACAACTAATGCTTACACAGTTAGAAATACATATGGGGGAAAATGATCTTGATCCCTAACTCATATAACATACAAAAAGAAACTCAAAGCAAAGAGGATACACTGAAGCCATAGAATGCACAGCAATAGAGAGGAATTAAACCTACTGATATGTGCAACCAGCTGGATAACTGTCCAGGAGAATTACAAATTCCAAGGAAACTTTGCTGAGGGAAAAAGACCAATCTCAATAGGTTACATTGTATGATATCATTATATAGGTTTTTAATAAATACTCTAAATGACAAATTTTTAGAAATTGGATGATACACAGGTGTGTGGTAGTTTCAAGGGCAGCCAAAGGGATCTGTGTATTCAGGATGGTGACTATGGCGGTGGACACCTGTGCAGGTATTAAAATTTTACAGAACTTAATGTACACATACACACAAATTAGTGCAATTTAAACTGGGGAAATCTGACTGAGATGCATGTACTGTATCAACACCAATATCCTGGCTGTAATAATGTGCTGTAATTTTACTAAATATTATTTCTAAATATTGTCATTGAAAGAATTGGAACAGATTGTACAAAGGTTTTCTCTGTGCTGTTCCTTACAACTATGTAAACTTATAATTATCCCAATAAAACATTTCAGTTAAAAATGAATATGAGCCAGGGGTGGTGGTGTGTGCCTATAGTTCTGGTTATTCAGGTGGCTGAGGCAGGAGGATCACTAGGGTCTACAAGTTGGAAACCACTCTATCTAGAAAGAAAGAAAGAAAGAATTTGATACGGATAATAAGCCTAAATGTAAAGTTAACTTTGTAATGATTCTTTTCATCTTATTTTTTCTTATACTTCTTAGAAAAAAATAAATGGAATATCTTCCTAATGCAGAGGTAGGTAAAGATTTTTTAGGATAAACAACATAACAAACAAAATAAAAATTGATAAATTACACTTCATCAAAAATTTAAAACTTCCAGTGATAAAGTCAGTTTGGTGACTTCCAGTGATAAAGTCAGTATGAGCTGTCAGAAGCGGTCAAACATGGAAGCTTGTGTATCTGAAACTTATGCATGAGTGCCCAGAAGTTATGATTTCATTCCACCTTGACCAAGGAAAACAAATCGGATACAGGGGTGGGGCAGGATGGCCACTGTGACCCTTGCCCCGGGGAATTGCTACCCAGCAAAATTCCATAATGGGAAAAGCAACAACATTAGCTTTACTATCACAAAACTCAGAAAGATGTTATCTCTCTTGAGAACACTCCTGAAAGGTGGGAGTCATAAGCCGCATTTTAGAGATGAGGAAACTGAGATCACTTACATTCAGGATCCAGCCTAGGCTGTCTGGCTGCAAAGTTCTGGGTCTACTGCAAAGCCTCACACTCAGAGCAAGGTGCAGGAGGGGTGCACTGTCACTTGTCAAAAAAAGAAAACATTGTTTCTGGAAGCAGAAGAGTCAGGTTAGACAAAGATGTATTTATACACTTTTATCATCTTGGATGAAAACTGCAAGTCATCTGGGAAAAAACAGCCTGATTTGGTTTATGGTTTGCTCTTTAGGTGAGCAGACTTATTCTTGTTTCACAGTCACATCAGTTCTAAAATGTTTGACAAAAATGCTCCAATTTGAATCTCAGAAGGAATTCTTTTGAGTAAACTACCACCTTGTGGCAAAAAGCATAACTTGCAGGAGAAAGAATTTGCTTTTACTCTTGCAGATCCTACATATTTTCCATAACCATGAAAGTTAGAAAATTTTGCATCATAACAAATAAACAAAAGTGCACATCCCTCTGGGCATGACTAATTTGAAAAAGACATCTGACTTTGGGACAAAGCAATCAAATCACTGACCCATATCATTACACATGTAGATGACAGAAATTTTATTAAATCAAGATTGTAAAAAAGCAAAGGTGGCCTAAGGTGATACATCTGGAAGAAAACTGATGAATGTTCATACTGTTATATTGTCCAAACTGTGAACTTTTGCAAGTGATGAGATTGCTATTAATAATTGCACAGGACAACAGTTACAAAGTGGGAGTGTGCCAAGGTTTAGCCTGGCACAGATGGGAATATATGTTGTAGTAGAGATCATGTGGTAAGAAATCTAATCTTTTCAGAAGAAATAAAATATCTTTTTATTTGTGTTGGCAAGAAGAGTTTGGTATCTGATTTGAATTTTATTCTGTCAACTAAGTTCAAAAGGAGATTCCCAACAGTTCAAGAACTTGAGTATGCACAACTGTGGAAATGAATATGATGTGCAAATTATTTCACAATGCTGTGTTTTAAGGAGTGGCACTGCGGCTCTGTGAAAAATTGTCCTAGAACTGAATATTGTTATGGGACAGAATGCAAGAAAAAAGTATGTGGATTTAGAGCCCAAGTGAGAGAAAGCAGGTGCTTAACAAGATCAGGGGAAAGGAGGATGCTCAGTCCCGTGTTTCTGTTACCCTGCACTTGCAGAGAGTTGCGTGGCCACATACCAGTGCTGCTCTGCTGAGACTTGGTGTATGCTGCAGCGTCGTGCTCTGTCCACAGCTCTCAGTTCCTCTCTTCACATTAACTCCTCAATATAGAACTTTTTCTGGCTTGCACTGAACTGAACTACCCTCAGCACATTCATGTGCTGTTGAGGGGTGAAATATTTTATAAATATCAAATCAATTTGACTCATGTTGTTCAGTTCAACTGTATCCTTGTTCATTTCCTGCCTGCTGGATCTGTCAGTTACTCTGAAAGTGGTTGTTGAAATCTTCAGTTATAATAGTGAGTTTATCTACTTTTTGGTGGAAGTTTTATCAGTGTTTGCCTGACATATTTTCATGTTTTGCTAAGTGCAAACACATTAAATACTGCTGTCTTGATAGAGAACTGGCCTGTTTATATAATGCCACTCTTTCTTTTTTTGTTTGTTTTTTTGAGACAGGGTCTCACTATGTAGTTGAGACTGACGTGGAACTCACTATGTAGCCCAGGCTGGCCTTGAACTCATAGCGATCCTCCTGCCTCAGCCTCCCGAGTGCTGGGATTACAGGAGTATGCCACCACGTCCGGCTCCACTATTTATTTTTGATAACTCTCCTTGCTCTGCAGCTTGCTTTGCCTGAACTTGCTACTTTCCCGTTCTTCTGACTGGTGTTAGCATGGCCTAGCTTTCTCCATCCCTTTACCTTATCTATTTTAATTTTTTTCTCTTTAGAGACAGGGTCTTGCTATGTAGTTCAGGTTGGCCTTGAACTTGTGGTAATCCTTCTGGCTCAGCTTCCAGAGTGCCGGGATTACAGGTGTGTGCCACCATGCCCAGAAAAAGTGGTTTCTTATAGATAACACACAGTTGGGTCTTGTTTTTTAAATCCACTTCAACAGCCTGTTCTTTAATTGGCATAATTTAGACAGTTCATATTTCAAGCGATTATAGATATACTTGGATTGATATCTGCCACGTTAGCTGTTTTATGTTCATATTTGTTCCACCTGACTTTCATACTTAATTTTTGATTCATAATTTTGTAGTTCCTTTTTTCTTTCTTGGAGGTACTGGGGATCAAACTCAGGGTCTTCTCATTAAACTACACCCCCAGCCTTTTTTAAATTTTAAATTTTGAGATAGGGTCTCAGTAAATCACTAACTTGCTCAGGGTGGGCTTCAATTTAAGGTCCTCTTGCCTCAGATTCTGGAGAGTTGGGATCGCCAGGCATGCACCAGCATGTTCAGCTTGTAGTTTTTAAGAGCCCTTTTAGACTCTTCAAAACCTGCCTCCTGCCTGCACCCAGTAGTAATGGAAGTCTGTAGTAATGGAAGAAAAAATCTGCACACCAGCTCTGACAGCCTGGGTCGGAAGGTTGCAGGACTCGGAAAGGCAACTGTCAACACACACAAGGACAAGGTCTTTGCCTCAATGTCCAGACACTGACATAGGCTCCAGCCAATCAGAGCTTTCCTGCGGCCGAATCCTGCGGGCAGGGGGCGGGACTCGCTCCTGCCGGTAGCTGGCTCGGAGCCTCAGCTAGCGGATGCGTGAGGTCCCGAGTGGGCGTGTCCTCCGTGTCCTCAGACACGCTGGGTTGTCAGGGCAACCGTGACCAGTGCTACAGAGTCGGTTGGAGACGCCGCTTGCACCAAGGATTGTGGCCCAGTCGGGAGTCAATCGCAGTGGCCGTTCCCCGGTAGGACCTGGAAACAGTAGGTACTGCCGACTCCTCTGTCCTTTTGTGTGTCCGGACGTCTCCGCGGGCGCTATGATGCGCGACAGGCGGCTCTGAGCGCCACTCCAAGCTGTGCGCGTCCCCGGGGCCCAGCTCAGGCGTGGGGAGGGGCCTTCGGAATCCCCGAGGATGCTCGCGGTGCAGAGATTTGCTGCCTCTCAGAAGACCTTACAAAGGGGCGGAGAGAGGGTGCTACCCTGCACGCCTGAGCCCTTGGTGATGGGGCTGCGCTTCTTTGCAGAGCCATGGGAAGTAAGAAGAAGGAGATTGCCCTGCAGGTGAGCCCAAGGGGTGCTAGCTTCCAGCACCCCGATGGGATTGGGGGCCAGGAGGACATGTGTGTGTATGTGTGTGTGTTGCACTCTAAAAAGTGACATTCTCTTGCTGGCAGTATATGACAGTGTTCTCAAACTTGAATGTTGTACCCTTCTGTCTTAGAAGTAAAAAAAAAAAAAATTAGCTCCTTATACTGTACTTATGTACATACACATTGTACACATTGGGCAAATGCTTTTTTTAAAACTTGTAGTGCTTATGCAACCATATGACCCAAATACGGATTACAACTACAAAACCAAGAAAAGATGAACCATCATAGTTCCATGTGACTGCTACACTTTGAAACGCAGTTGCAACTTACTTAGATAATATAAACAAATTCTTTTGAGCTTGGACATTGTCTGTAATGCTGTGCTCTGCATAGGCTCTGTATTCTCACCTCTAAGCTTTCAGTCACTAACAGTATGTTTTGGGATATGAATGTTTGTTAAATAGAGTGCCTTATTTCATTTAGGGCAAGTAAATCTGTGAGCCATTGTCTGCTTCTTTTTTTCTTTGACCTGGGCAATCAGTAGTGGGTGCTGGTAAAGTCACGGTAAAAAACAAAATGCAGGCATGGACCCTGGAATTGCGAGAGTGTTTTGTTAAGAAATCATTTTGCTGAGGAAGGAGGACTGACTGGCATTGCCTCTCTACTTACATACAGAAATCTGTGTATTTGTCAGTAAATCTTTTGAAGGTAGTGTCTGGGCTCTATCCAGAACACTGTCCTCTCTCTAGGTAAGGTTATTTGGGGTTCCTTCTTCTGTGGCTGAGGCAGAAATCATGGGGCATCAAGGGTTAATGTGGTCAAAAGATGCCACACATTTCCATTCATTCCCCACCAAATGTGAAAAAAAAAGTGAAGTTCAAATATTTCCCATACTTTTCTGCTCCTCTCCCCAGCTTCTAGAGGTGAGATTCCTCAGCTGCTCAGAGTCCTGCCCCAGAGGTGATGTGCATCATGCCAAGGCAAGGGTGGGCCACAGCGAGTTGCTGGTGCCTTACAGCTGAGCCTCTGGGTGGGGCGTGGGCTCTTCTGATCCCCCATCACTTGCCTTAGGACTGCAGCTGCGGGTCCACGGTGACAGCAGTCCAAATCAAGTACATTTTGTGTGTTGAGCCCTGGGGATTTAACCCAGGGCACCCCACTGAGCTACTTCCCCAGCCTCCAGCCCTTTTATCCTTATATTTAAATTTTATTCTGCAACAATGCATAAGATTCTAATAAGTTGATACGTAGGGGAAGAACAAAAAGGGAAAAGAAAAAAATGTGAGAGAATGAAAAGATGAAAATAAAGTGTTTGTAGATGGGGAGGGGAGGAGGGGGTGAAGGGAGGGCAGAGGTAAGGGGAAAAAATGAGAATCAAGACTTGCCATGTAGAGGTACATGATCCCAACAATGAATGCAACTGTACTGTATCCCTAAAATGTACCAATAAACTCAATAAAATTAAAAAAAAAAAAAAGACAAAGGCTCACTGGTTTGTCCGGGATTGTCTCAAACTCTTGGTCCTCTTACTTCAGTCTCTTGAGTAGCTAGGATTACAGGCTTGTGCAATCATGCCTGTTTTTTTCTTTTTTCTTTTATTATAAATAGAAAAAGGTGAAGAGTAGGCTTCCTTAAAAAGAGGGACCTTTAATAGAGGATTTGCAGATATTACATGCTGCTTGCCATTATTGTAGGTAATATATCCTATCTTTTTTAAAACATTTAAGTTTTAACATAGTTTTATTTAGAACAAGTTATAATTTTCATGGTTTTCTAATATATATAGTTGCAAAGTAGCTCCTTATGAAAACATTATTACAAAGAGGAAGAAGATAATTTTTTTAGTAGAGGAGAATGACAGACTACTTTGATCCAGTGGTCAAAATAAGTATCATCAAAATATGCAGGTGGAAATTGGGTATCACCTAACTGGATGTAATGAAAATTCACATCAGCTCCTCTAATGCATCAAGCAAGATGCATCATCTGAGGCCTATTAGCATGAAAAGGACACGCTCAAGTCAGGGATGGTCTACAAAATAACTGGCATATGGTTTTCAAAAGTGTTGAGGTCAAGAAAACAAAAGACTGAAGAATTATTCCAGACTAATACTACAGAGGTTTGAGCAATAAACCTATCACATGATTTTGATTAGCTCCTTTGCCACTGAAGACATTGTTGGGACAGCATGTAAAACTTGAATGGTACTGAAGGATTAAATGGTAATAATATATTACTGGACTTTCATTTTGATGATTGTATTGTGATTATGTAGGATATTACATTCCAGGGGGATGGGAGATCTGTCATGATAATTTACTTTAGAATAACTCAAAAATACTGCCAAATGTTCTTTATACTTAGAATTTGAAATTTAAAGATTATTCTTTGAATTGTACTTAAAATACAAATTTTCAGAGTAAAAATGTATTTTTTACATAATATACAGACTGTATACTGTATAATATACATGTATACTGTTAATGGGGATGGACAATAGGCATTTCTCCTTGCATTTTATATCTAGTACAAACCAGAACTCTGTAAATAAGAAAAAATGTGAAAAATGGCAATAAACTCAACTCTTAATTATTTCTGATATTGAATGAAAGTACAGATTGCAAAAGGAAACCTGCAGTATGATACTGACTATATACATTTTAAAGACAGAAAGCAATTTTATATATTTTTTCTGGACAAATAACATCTAACTTTTTTTTATGCCTGAGAATCATAAAATGTCAAGTACAAATCATTTTCAGACTAATAGTTTTTCCCTGGGAGGGAAGCAGAAAGAATAGGGAGGAGAAAAGAAGACTGGGGAGAAAAAGAGGTAATTTAATCTCTACTTGTAAGTATTTCAGAGAAAGAGAAAAATCTAGAGAAAAATACATTGATTGGGTTCCTATCTTGTGCCCTCAGTGATATAGCCATTTGATCCTCTTTGTCTCTAGGTCAATATCAGCACTCAGGAGCTTTGGGAAGAAATGCTCAGTTCCAAAGGACTAACTGGTAATTTAAAATAAAAATGTTTTAGATACAGTCTTTCTTAGATTGTTAAATGATGTGTTGAACCATGAACAGAAGGGCTGCACTAATAAGTACTATTTTCCTGTAATTGTGCCCTCATAAAGAACCAGGTGGTTTCTTTGTGTTATGAGTATAGTTCCTCCTTATCTGAGATTTCACTTTGCATAGTTTCAGTTACCTGCTCTCAACCACAGTCCAAAAATATTAAATCATAATTCTAGAGCTACATAATTCATAAGTTTTAAATTGTATGCCATTCTGAGTAGTATCAGGTAATTTCGTGAAATCCATCTGGGACATGAATCATCCTTTAGTCCAGTGTATCCATGCTATATATGCTGCCTTCCCATTAGTCTTTTGTAGCCAGCTCAGTTATCAGATTAACTGTCTTGGTATTGAAGTGATTGTGTAAGGTCCGGTACTAGTCAGTTTCAGGCATCCACTTGGGGTCCTGGAACATGTCCCCTTAGAAAGGGGGTATTATATTTAAATCTGGCTTGAACACCATAAATTCAGTCCAGGAAATGAGTCAGAACTGTCAGATAGTAGAGTTCCCTTGTTTTAGAGCTGGTTGCCATACTCAGGATAGTTTGGTGTGCAGTTACAGAAACGTCTTCTAATTACCTGATATACAAAAGGAGAATGTACAAGAAGGAAAATGTACTTGGAACTCAAGGATGGAGAGAGAGAGAGAGAGAGAGAGACAGGCACCACAACTAGAATTACAGTCATCAGAAAACAGCACAGCTGCTGTCCACAGGCTTCCTCATCCCTGTCCTCTTTGTATCAATTATCTAAAACTAGTGGCTGAAAACGATAAATAGTATCCCATAGTTTATGTGGGTGAGGAATCTAGATGTAGCTTAGCTGGGTGGGCACAGGGTCTCATGAGGGTGCAGGAAAGATGTCATATGGAGAACTTCAAGGCTCAGTTTGGGGCAGGTTTGCTTCCTAAGTGCATCTATGTGGCTATTAGCCAACCGTAGAAGATCCATTTCAAAGCTGACCTTAGAAGATCCATTTCCAAGTTTACTCATGTGGCTGTTTGAAGATTCAATTCCTCACTGATTGTTGGACATCAATCTTCTGCCATCCCTTCCTCCCTGCAGGTACATGGAAACTGGCTTCCTTTAGAGCAGCTCTGAGAGAGCACCAGATGGAAATCAGTTTTGTTAATCTAATCTCAGATATTCCTTCCTTTTCCCATCTTTTTGAGACAAGGTCTCACTATGTAGTCCAGGCCAGCCTTGAACTTACTATGCAGCACAGCCTGGCTCCAAATCCTCCTCCTCCCACCTCAGCTGCCTTATCTGTGCGTGCTACCATGTGTGGCTCTTTTTTCCCTTTTAACTGGAGATTGAAACCAGAAGCTTATACATGCTAGGCAAGAGCTCTGCCATTGAGCTACATCCAAGCTCCTTAAAAATTTTTCCTTTGAGACTTGGTAAGTTGTCCAGGCTGGCTTTGAACTTACCATCCTCCCTCCTCTGCCTCCAGAATAGCGGCCAGAACAACTGGCCACCAGCTTCTTCTAGATACTTCTGTTACTCTCTGTGTGTCTGTTCATATCTGTTCCTGTCCTTTGGGTCTCCAGACCCCACCAAGTGACTCTTTGGCATTTAAGAACTCTTCCTCTTCTGATGCCATCTTTCTCTCCAGCCCCTTCCTACTGTTTCCTGAGGAGTGTCCTGAGCTCTAACGTGTTTCCCATTTCTTCACATTATCAGTGTTGTGCCTTCTCCCTAGATTACCATTGTCCATCACAACCTGTAGATGCCTTTCTCATTCTCAGGCCCAGCTCTACAACAGACACCCTGCTTGACATCTTTCCTTGAACTTCTGTGTGGTGACTTCCTCCTAGGAGCCCCTTAGGGCTCTGTCAATCCTCCACCCTGTCCTGTGTGGCCCGGATCTCAGCTCTGACCCAGACTCAACGCAACAGAGCTGGTCTTATTGATTCAGATTTGTGGGTATGAGAATTGTCACACTCTTGAACTTGAGGGATTATAGACCCTTTTTAATTGTGCCAAGGCTTAAGCATTGTGTTCCTGTGTCTTTTCTGGACACAATTTCAGGGTAAAACTAGTCATTATTTCTATTTCTTTAGCAACAGTGATTTTTAAGGATTTGCCATGTTCCAAGCCACCCTCTGATCACCTTTGTGAGGGTGGCTAACATTTACTGAGCATGGACTCTGCTGAGCCTGTTCTTGAACCTTTGCTGAGTGAAGGCAGATGGGCTCTTTTTAGCCCTTCTCATCAGGCAGGTTAGAGGAATACACACTCACATAATACCCACACTCACACACAGGATATATATTCCTCCCTCTCTCTAGAGCCAATAGAAACTTGCTTCCAAAGCCAGCCATTATCTTGGAAGACTTTCCTTCTTCTGATTTATTATCATCTGCCTTTTTTTTTTGGTACCAGTGATTGAACTCAGGACCTCATGCTTGTCAGGCAGGCACTGTGCGGCTGAGCTACATCCCTAGCCCTATCATCTGTTTTCTAACATGCAAAGTCTAATCAAGTTTGTACACACAAATGCATGTGCACCTGTGTACACACACACACACACACACACACACACGTTTTTTGTCTCTGTCATTCCTTCCAGGTGTCTTCTCTATTTTGCTTCCTGTCTTTCAGGAGAGATCAGGTGTGTTCAGCGTGGTATGGCTATCAACTGCTTCCCATCTTTGAAAGTCAACCCCTGCATGCCCCACTCCCCACTCCCTCCATAATCTTACAAAAGGCACATAATCTTATGTGCCTTTGTCCCCACAGCTCCTCTCAGTGCCAAGGAAAACGGTATGAGAACCTAGTAGAAATGAAAGGTGAACAATCAATACAAATACTTCATAGAGATTTTAATGTAATTGCAGCTTTTTTTTTTTTAACCTTTGGGATATGAATCTGCCTTCCTCAGTGGGTCTGTTTACAAGGTCTTGAGTCTCCACCCACATGACTGAAGTAGTTGAAATCCATATATCTGTCGATTGTGAAAATGCTGTTCTCAGAAAAGCCTTAACCTCTACCTGGACACCAACAAGGCCCAAATTCTTCTCTTGCCCTAGTCTCCTTCTGGGTATCTGGTTTCCTTTGTGACCTTTGCCATTGATTTTTTGATTGGCATCAGAAACCCAGCTCATCTAAAATTGAGTTTGCCCCAGCCATCTCCACCCTGCCCATCCAGTTCTTTTCCTGTGCCAGGCTCAGGTGAGATTCTTTTCATGCACACTTGATTTTCATCCTGTGTTTCTACTTCCTCTTGAAGGTGTGGATTCCTTCCTCCTTTCCCTTCTATCCTCACTGCCACCCCTGTGTCTCCCTTCCTTGCTTCCCCCATAACCAGCCCAAGTCTCACTTTCTGCAGAATTATGCTATCTGGATGAATCAGTCAACAGTACTCCTGAGGTGGTGACTCTTGCTTCTTTCCAGGAGCAGTTGAAAGAGCGTGGGCTATGGGATCAGACATACTTGGCTGAAAACTTGGTTTTGGTGTGCTGTGGTTTGAACATGTCCCCTCCAAATGTTGAAATTTAATGACCAATGTGATAGTATTAATAGCTGGGACCTTTCCCATTATCTCCCCATTACTGCGCTACTCTGGCTGTTGACTACAAATGCCACCTATGTGGACCAGGCACAAGCCCACGAGTGGGAAGGCCTCATGGCAAACATCCCTTCTCTGAAATGTGGCCACACAGTCTAGCACTTGCTGCTTCATGATTGGGCCAGGCAGGTCCTGAATGTGTCTGCTGCACAGACACACTGGTCTGCACAACTTCTGACGGGCCATGTGGTTGCCTAAATTCAGATAAGGATTCCTTCACACCCAAACCTGCTATCTATTATAGATTCAGACTTAATATGACACAGGAATCCAAATTTCCATCTGCTCTCTATCAGGTTCTCTTTCCGGGGCAAAAGCATTTTGACAAAGTAAATGAAACTACATTACTCAAAGTAAATGGCTTTTAATTCATCAAGGGAAAGATTAAAGCTGTGTTTACTCTCAAAGTAGATGAGTCAATTGTATGCTGACCAGTCACCTACTGTCACCTTAACTCTCCTTGAAGAATAGACTGTTTCCCAGCTACTCACAGATTGCAAGTTCAGCGCCAACCTGGGAAACATAGGAAATCCCTGTCTCAAAAACTTTTAAAAAATTGGTCTAGTCCAATTCAGATATTCACCGAGGACCACTGTGTCAGGCCTGGCACTGAATATAGCTTGGAAAACCCGTAAAGTAAGGCAGCCACCTTGAGAAAACGATTTTCCGTTGTACTTACTTCATTCTGTTTAGAATTCAGTATACTGAATCCATAAGAATAAGAGAATTCTGTGTTTCCATGCTGATTCATAAATTCATGGGATAATAAATCCTTTTCACCACTGAATACCCCTGGAAGCAGATGTCCATTTGAGGGGCTGGAACATGTAGGATTAAACTCGCTTCTTGGCTCTGTGCAGTTGTTGATGTCTACCAAGGCTGGTGTGGCCCCTGCAAACCTGTGGTGAGCCTCTTCCAGAAGATGAGGATCGAATTTGGCCTGGACCTTCTACATTTTGCATCAGTAAGATCCTTTCTTGGCAAGAGCAGTACAACACTGCAAAATGAAACTGAAAAACAATAAGGAATGGGAAGCATGAACTACCTTTTTCAGATAACTGGAAGGCATCAGTTGTTGATATTGTCACGACGCCTTATAATTTCTCTAGATGTAAAGAGAAACTACCTCCTGAAAGTCCCCTTGGCTCGGGCAATTTCTTGATGCTGTGTGAAGGGAAGGAATACATGTTATTCAAATGCATATGCTCCTCTGGCTCATGAACACTGTTGGTGAAATGTCACTTTTAGACAAAGTTTCAAGCTTTCCGAGCTTTGCTTTATAAAGGGGAATTTTCAGCAAACATTACTTGAATTAACATGCGTCAGAGGTTCTGTTGATACACTGCCTGAATTTGAGGTTCAAAGGTAGTAAAGGCAGGAGATAACAAAATTTAATGCTAATCTCCCAAGAAGGTGGACATCAAGGACTGTGCACTTCCTCTTGTGAGAGTCAGTTTTGGCACCTTCTAGAGTATGCTGCAGGCAGCTGGCGTGGGGGTCTTCAGTGTCTCTGACAGTGGGTTTGGTATCAATGAAGGCAACATCTGAGGACCTCTCACATCTGCTGTTGCCAGCCATGGCTATAGAAGGACATTAGATGGGGGACTTCCCTCAGATGGGTGCAATAGCTGTGTGGGAATGGGAAAACTCTTGTTTCCTCTTCCCTTGATTCTTTAAGGTGGGAGGCTGCCCAGAGTTTTTACCAATGTGTCGACAGGACAGCTGATTAGACACAGCAGCAGGAGAGTGAGCTGGGCTTCTCCTGGGTAGACTAGAGTTCCTGTGGCCTTGTACCCACTGCATCAAGGCTCCTGCTGACAACTTGATTTTCTTTAGGCAGAGGCAGACTGTCTTGATGTCCTTGAAAAATACCGAGGGAAGTGTGAGCCCACCTTTCTGTTTTACGCAGTAAGTACATTACTGTTGCAGTACACAGAATGTGCATCGTGACTGTTTATTTGGCATGACCACTTCATTCTTCTTTGAGGGCAGTGACTATGTCTTTTCATGTTAGGAATTATATTCTTTACCTCTGCCCAATAAGTGCTTGGCATAGAAAGTGCTCAGTAGATATTGGTTAATTGAATATTCCATGTATAGTCATTTAGTCAGTCACAACTTTTGTGTACTGTTTTTTCTTTAACTGTCAGTTGTCCTGAAGGAAGCTTTGAAGGAAGGGGCACAGAGAAGAAGGTACAGATCAGAGGAACAGAGAATCATTTTTTGGTGGGGAGGGGTTTGAGACAGGATCTTACTATGTAGTTCAGGCTGGCCTGGAACTTGTGGTATTCTCCTGCCTCAGCCTCCCAAGTACTAGGATGACAAGTGTGCACCACCACACTTAGATCAAGAGAAAATCATTTTAGAACTGTGAGCAAACCCAAGGGCGTCCTGGTGGGAAGGCCCCAGAAGGTGGCAGCAGAGGTGAACATCCCACAATTGAAACGGATGGTGGAGGCTGTGGGCTTGGAATCAATGGGCCTTGATCTTTGATACACTTTTAAACATTCTTGCTACCTCCTAAGAGAGGTTAACTATGTGAAGAGGAGGTCATGAGATTTGGAATTCATTCCAGGGAGGAGAGTTGGTGGCTGTAGTTAAGGGTGCAAATGCCCCTTTGCTGCAGAAGACCATCCTGGATCAGCTGGAGGCTGAAAAGAAGGTGCTGGCTGAAGGCAGGGAGCGAAAAGTGGTGAGTGGAGGTCCTTTCTGCAAGCCACTCTCACAAGCATGCTCATAGCCGGAAGCCAAAAGTCCCTCTCACCCTGCCTCGGGTTATCCTGCAGCTGCCAGTGAAATGCTTCATAAATGGGCAGTGCTGGGTCTGTTCCTCACAGAAGGCTCAAGAGTGTAAAATGCCCACTATGATATGTCTGCTATTTGAAGTTTTTAAAAAGTTGTCTCTTTCATCTAGAGCCCTTTAACATCTTTTATCCATTTCTCTTTTGCTCACTATTGCAACTCTTAAATACTAAACTTGGAAAAGAAAATAAATTTATAGAACTGAGTAGAAGTGTGTTAGCTGCCTGTTACTGTAACAAAATTTCTTCAAGAAAATTCCACTTAAAAGTGGAAAGGTTTATTTTGTTTCACAATTTTGCCAGGTCACTTGGACCCATTGTTCCTGGGCCAGTGAAAGGCTGTGCATCATAGTGGGATTGTGTGGTACAGGAAGCTGCTTACCTTGTAGACACAGTGAAGCAAACACAGAGAGCAAAAACTACTGTCTCAAACCCCTGTCAAGGGTGAACTTCCAGTTGCCTAAGACCTTCCACTAAGCCCTTCCTCTTTAAGTGTCCACCACCTTCTGATAATGTCAAGCTGAGAACCAAGCCTTTAACATGTAGACCACCAGGGGACACTTATTCAAACTCTGGTCAGTGAGCAGAAGTGTCCCTTCTGTCTCAAGGGGAAATCTTTCCTCATGACCCATGCACTCACATTCCTGAAGGTTTCACTTGTGACCCCCTATATTTAATTTCTCTAATTTAGAACTCAAGCCTGTCATTACCATGAAAAATAGGGTCAGCATGGCTTGTGATTTTGAGCAGCTGTTTCCACAATAAAACAGACTCCAAGTTCTTCACAAATAAATGGTTACTTCTGAAAATGGATACACCATAGAAAGAGGTAATTCTAGTGCTTTGCATATCTGCCAAACACAAATCAACATTGTTCAGTGTTCAGATTTTCATATTCAGTTCAAAACAGCAAAGCCTTTTTCTTACAGAATGGATTATGACCAAATAATCTCCCCCCCCAAAATGCTAGCAGGTTTTCCTAAAGAAAGAAAACTACAAATGGTCACATTTTTCTGTGCTTCTTCTAGGGACTAAGATCTATCCTTTTCTTCTCTGCATGGTATAACCTATCAGTTAATATTTATTTACATTTTAATTCTTTGTCTTCTCACTCTATTTTTTCTTTTGTCTTGGTCTGTACATAAACACTTGACAAAAGAGCTAGAATCTTTGTCAGGTACGGGGGTACATGCCTGTAATACCAGCACTCTTGTAGGCTAAGACAGGAGGATCACAAGTTCAAGCCCAGCATGGGCAACTAATCAACTGAGCATCCTGTATCAAAATTTAAAAATAAATAAAAGGGCTGGGGATGTAGCTCAGTGTAAAGGCTTTAGTACTTTTACATATACTTCCAACCACTAGAAAAGATCTCATAAAGTGTCTAAGACTTTGATAATCTTGACATCCTTTTATTGCTACTCTATATTTAGACCTTTATTTTTTGTTGTTCCTCAATGTTTTGAAGGTCTTAGTGATAATTTAAACTGGCTAACTACTCTCTGCTCATGACCAATTTGTACTAGGTTAAAGATGAGTCTCTTTCTGATGAAGAGGAATGCTTGTCTCATGAAAAGGATGATGGTGAAGATGAGGACGTGGGTGAGTACAGAACAAGCAAGGCCAGAAGGCAAGGCAGATTCAGATTGGATGTGTATTTTAAATTTGAGTAATCTGGCTAATAAGCAATCTGAACTCTGTCCAAGTAGACTGACCATCAAACCTTTTGCTTCCAACTGCATGAGTTCAAACACTCTATGTTGAATCTTCCTTCTGCTCTCTAACAGCATCTTTGGTATATTTCACATCTTTCTGGTATAACAAGCATGACTTTCATGGCAGTCACCCAGCATCAGGAAAGCTCCGCTCAGTTAAATGGAAGTAGTGACATTAGTAATGTAAAGCAATGACATGGGTATTTTCTGAGTCCTTATCTGAAAAAAGAGAAGCTGAAGCTTCTTTTAGTGTCTCTTGCTGAAATACCAGCCCAGACCAGCCTTTCTCCCTGCAGTCCCATGTCCTATACCATATACCCTATGTCCTACTCTGTAAGTAGCAACTCACAGGTCTGACACTTGTGGGCACAAGCCCTTTCTGAACTTTCCTCTGACCACAGCCACCCGACCTGCAGTGTGAAGACAGTGAGAGTTAGGCTGCTGCCGGGAAGATATTTCTTGGTGGTCACTGGAACACCAGCGGAACCAGATTATGTCAGGAGATAAGCTGATACAGAGAAGGAAGTTTTAAAATTATGATTGCATGCAGTACAAAGGCTGTTTTTTCCTGTGTGGATAATAACCGTTTGAAATGGATTCTAACAAGGAAGGAGACAGTTTAGAAAAGGAAGAGAACTGTGTAAAAAGAAAACTAGAAACGTGGCTCCTGCAGGAAACATTTGTTGCCTCATTTTTGTATTATATCCTCTTTCTTCCCACCTCCGTTTTCTTCCCAGATCAAGTCTAACATGGGAAACCATAGCATATATCTTTTCAGTTCACATGTTTTTCAGATTTTAGAGTAGAAAACCCTCCTTAAATATAGGCATTGTTTTGTTTCACTGTGACACACCAATATAAAGCTGAGAAACAGAAAATGGACAGTGTGGGAGTGCTGATTCTGGACCCCATCAAGGCCGCACTCATATGTATGGGAATGCAGTGGAGAGGGGCTGCTGGATATGACCAAACCTCTCTACATCTCCCTGTGGGCCTGCCCACAGCTTGGGCCTAAGCAGTGGGCTTTGCTCCTGTGGCCACTCCCTCACTGCTTAGCTGATGGCAGACACTGACCTAAGGGCAGTTAATCCACAGACCAGCCAACTGATAGAGCACTTGCCTAGCACGCACCCTGGGTTCAATCCCAGCACTACAAAACAAAAATAAAACAAACAAAAAAATCTTAAAACCCAAACAACAAAATGAGTGGGTCAGTCTGGCCTTCTGTCAGGGGAACCTGACCTGAGAGAGGCCTGAAGCTGCAATATGGTAGCATGTGCTGGAGCGGAAGAGTCCGGGAAAGATAAAAAACAGTAGCAAAGTAGCCACTGGAGCTCACAGCAGTCAGAGGCTGAGAATCAGGAGACATGGGTAGGAAGGGCTGAGGGTGGCTGGGCCTGTGTTGCCTCTGCTCCAGCACTCCTGCCTACCCAACTTCAGGCCACCTTATTCAGTTGTTTCTGGGCTTCTGTTTCTAGTCTTTCAGTACCCTCCCTGTCATATGTCTCCTGACCTTGGGTTCATTGAGCCTGTTTCCTTCCCTTGAAGCCAGGTTGAGGTTGAGCCCTGGAGCCAGCCTTATACTTTCCTGGAATCTAGGTCTTTAGAGGTAAAGCCAAGAGGCCTGTGGAGGGATTCTGGGAGCCAAGCCTATCCCTGCCACATGGTACAGTGGAGCCCTTGGGTAGGGGCTGCCCTGTCTCTGCAGGTGGCTTCCCATCAGCCTCTAAAACCACTGCCTGACAGCACCTTCCCTGCTTATTTCAGTGTCATCAGAGAAGACCTGTACCTTGGCCATCATTAAACCAGATGCAGTAGTCCATGGAAAGACTGATGAGATTATTGTGAAGGTAAGAGAGGTAACATTTACCTGTACGACTGTCCTCATGTCCTTCCTGGTGGATAAACAGAGGTGGGGCATCAGACAGCAGTACCCTGGGGGAAAGAAGGCATCTAAGAAGTTGTAATCTTCATTGCACACAAGTAAATGAAAATGGTAATCTGATTGGGACAGACACTGTAAAGGTGAGGGTCTCCACTGCTTTTAATTTTGCATTTTTAAAACCTTTCAATTAAGTTAAATGTAATTTTGGGCTGGCTTGATTTATACTTTCATAATACTTATGTATACTCTACAGATCCAGGAAGCTGGGTTTGACATTTTAACACATGAAGAGAGAACTATGACAGAGGCAGAAATGCAACTTTTTTACCAACACAGAGCTGGAAAGGTCTGCTCATCTGCTTCCAGACATTCAACACTCATTTCTCGTTCTCCCCCAACATTATACTTATAGACGGAGAGTAGTTTGGGAAAAGATAGAATATTGTGAAGAACAAGAATATGGGTCATGAATTTGCTCTCAGAATAATGATTATAGCCTATATCAGGTACAGTTCACATTAAGTAATGAAATAGCGGTTTATTATCCTGGGCGTGGTGGCTATAATCCTAGCTACTCAGGAGGCTGAAGCAGGAGGATAACACTGAGACTAGCCTGTGCAGCAGAGTGAGACCCTGTCTCAAATGAAAAATAGCAAAAGGGGGGAGGAGGCTGAGGATGTAGATCACTGATAAAAGCATTTGTCTGGCCTATGTGAGGCCTTTGGTTCAATCCCCAAAAAGTTCCCCCCTCAAAGTCTCAACTATATCCTCCTTTTGGTTATCCAATACCCAATATGTGATTTCCTCATATATGGTCTTTTAAATGTTTCTGCCTAATGAAAATTATCTTAGGTTCAACCCCAACTGAGTCCACTTAAAATCCCACTTTTCTGGGTTCTCAGGGTGGGCTGGTCACCACCACCCCTGCCCGGACTCTCCACAGCAGGCAGTGGCTGAGTCCTGCGGGCATACTGGTGGGTGACAAGGTTTCTCACTGATTTCCCCCTTCCTGTGGGTAGCATGAGTTCCCTGACCCTCTGCAGGCCTCACTGGCTCCTACCTAGGGTCATCATTTTCCCTCTCTGTGATTAGGAGGTCTTTGAAAAGATGGTGCATCACATGTGCAGTGGGCCGAGCCATCTTCTGATCCTCACCAGAGCAGAGGACACCAAGGATGTGGTTACTGCCTGGCGAGACCTCATGGGACCCTGTGATCCCAATGTGGCTAGAAGGGAGCAGCCTGAAAGGTACCGTCACCAGCTGTGGTCCTGCCATTCATTTGAAAAGCTATATCCCACTGGCATTCGCCAAGAGTTGTGGGAAACACAGAGGCTCTCTGGTGGCCAGGAGATGCTGACATCCTTTTTCACTGCTCTGGTGCCCAGCCTGTGCCAAGTACCTCCTGGGAGTGGCCGGCTCCTTCCTCTGACCTCTTATGGAGGCTGCTGCTTGATTCAGTCCTCATCACCGCTATCTCTTAGCCAGAGTCCCAGTATGCTTCCAGAATACAGCTTCTAGGGCCCTACTTGGGCCTGTTAAGTCAGAGAGCCTGAGGGTGGCCTGAGAATCTGCACTGTGGACTCAGCTCCCCACTCACCCAGGGTGTCGTGAGGCCCTCTGGAATCTGAGCGTGCTGTTCAGCATACTGTACCAGTCTGGCTTGCCTGCTTCTTGGCCCTGTGATGAGACAGCCAGGTGTCACCAATGACAAACCCATGTGTTTTGGTCTTTGAAGCTGTGGACAACAGGAAAGGAAGTCATAAGAGGCCCAGGAATTGCAGTTATACCTTGTAAGTTTCCAAAAGCATTTGTGTGTGAGGCAGCTGGGCAGGTAAAAGAAGCCGGGACTCAAATCCTAGGTACCACAAACTCAGCAAGCCTCTTCTCAGCCTTTGTTCTTTCATCTGTAAAATGGGATATGAGAAACCATCATGATAGGATAGAGGCAGTTAGAATAGTGCTTGACACACAGAAGTCCTGGCATGTAAGTATTATTTTACGGGATTATTGTGAAAATTAACTTCAAAGCTGCATCAAACACTGCTTGAAGGTCTTCTACAGCAGTATTGACAAAATTGCAGCTTCTGTGCTTGCACCTGTACTCAAGCATGCTTAAATGGGAATGGCCGTTTCCCTGCTAGCTCCACAGAATGCAGCGAGATCCTGTCGGAAAAACTCCTGGCATCTATTCATTGTCAGCTACTGCTATCATCTCTGCTGTTCTTGGTAACACTACAGAAAGAAAGCAATTTCACAGAAATGCGGAGTGCTGATTGGCAGCTGATAATCATGTTGCCAGAAAGCAAAAATTTGTATTCAAATAAAACAATTGTTTCTTTTACATTTTGCCAATGTTTCCAGTCTTCGGGCTCAGTATGGCACAGAAATGCCCTTTAATGCTGTCCATGGAAGCCGAGACAGAGAAGATGCCAACAGAGAGCTGGCCTTGCTTTTTCCCAGTTTTAAATTTTCAGAGGAAGATATTGAAGCCTTTCAGGGTAAGTTCTCAAGGGAAATTTGCTCTTTATTAGAAAAGGAATTTGTGACTGTGTGCTTGTGTATGACTGATAATTATTTGGTAATGAATTATTCAATCTAATAAAGTCCTGTTCTGAAAATATGGGCAATCAAGCAACTTCAGTATCAACAGTAAACTATTTTTTTGTTTTCATAGAGTAACAATATTATTTTCTAATACCTTATTACATTTTTTGCTGCTTATTTTGGGGTTATATTTTCATTGAAAAGACACTTTGTTTGCACTTTTGCGTGGAAACCACTGCGAAAATGTAGCAAACTTTCTGAAGCTGACTTCAAAGCCAAGTGGCCTTTTCATGTCCTTCATGTTCTGCATACCCCTGGTTGCAGAAGCCCCTAGTGGAAGCTCCTGCGGCCCCTCCCCCTCCCTGGAGCCCACTTTGGCCCTCTGTTCTTTCCCATGGGAACTTCCCATTTAGTCTCTAGGAAAGTACACCAGATCTGCCAACACCTCCAAATCTGATGAGAACCCAAGGTGTCCACAGCACGCCTGACAGCCCATTCTGTAAGTGGAAGAACTAGGCTTTGCCTGTGCCATTCTAGCTGCTGAGTTATGTGTCTCCACCTTGAACCTAAGGTGAGGTGGAAGGGCTGGAAGATGAGATGAACATCCAGGGAAAACTCAAAGGATGTGAGGGTTGGATCTTTGGAAGGCCACATACACATCTGAAATGGTAATAACCTATGTATGTCTGGCTGGGTCTTAACTGATATATTTGCCTGTTTGCTAAGATCTAAAGTCCAACCTTGTCAGAATTAAGTGGACAGAGGGCAAGATAAGGTGGGCAGGAGCTGGTATGTACTGACCCTTGTTGAATCTTGCTGTTGCCTTGTGAGGTAATTTTTCCCACTGCCATCTGAGAAAGAAGGTGAGTGAACTAGACCTTAGGGAGTCAGGAAGTCCTAGGAAGTGTGGCTCAGGAAGACACAAATTCATCCTAGTGCATGTGGTCTTCAGTCATCCCTACCGGAACCAACTATCTTATCTTAGATCTGTGCTCATGATGCATTTCCTTTGTTCCCAGGGTCACAGGAGGCACACCGATGTAACTCTGTGTTAGGCAAGTGAGGAGTAGGAGGGTGAACTAGCTGGGAAGTACCAGCATAAGTGTTGGGAGATCTGGAGCCTCTGGCCTCAGGTGATAATGAACAAAGGGGAAGTGGTCTGAGCCCAGATGGCACCTCAGGAATAAGCGGCCACACAGCCAACAAGCTTTGCTTTGAAGCAGCGTCACTGGGGTCTTGATGTGGCATACCTTCTGTTTTGGGGAGCAAATGTATTTTCACTTACCTAGCACTTTTCCTGCCAAGGAAAAGGCCCTGAGGGCAGGGGACACAAACATTGTAGACAGTGCCAGGCAATCCTGGCTCCAGTACTCAGCTAAATGGCTTCTGGAAAGTTACTTACCTTTTCTGAGCCTCAGTTTCTTCATCGGTGAAATGGAAATAATGACAGACCCACTTAAACCCTAAACTAAATCCATAACAATCATCTTCCTCATAGATCTGTTGTGAAGATAAAAGGAGACAAGACGTAAAGCCTTTAGCCTGGTGGCACAAGTGCTCAACAAATGTTTTTGATTCTCCTAATTCTCTAAGTCCTAGTCCCGAACACTCACATATGCTGTCCATCCCAGCCTGTCCCCCAGCTTGGTCCTCAGTGATAGTTGGCTCTTCCTTTTCCTGCTCCTTTGTGGATGGCGGGTGGGGCAGGACTGGCCATCTGTGTTTCAGAAGTCCAGCAAAACATGTCATCCCACAGGTACTGAGGCTGAAGGAGCAGCAGGCCCCACAGAGGCGCACTGCATCCCTGAGGACATGAACTGAGATGCTGTACTGAGGGCAAGGCCCCAAGGCCGTGATATGAAATGTCTGAGCACTCGGGTCTGCATGAAGAAACATCACAATAGGAACTTTTTGTGCACCAGTGCCTTCTTGGTTTGGCTATCTTTGTGGACAATGAAAATAACAGTACATACTTTCTTGCCTTAAGCAGTACATAAAATATAAAATGTTTTTTCCTGGATTTTATAAAATATGCATGAGTTACTGTACTCTGCTGAAACATGGCATCACTTCAGGGGATACTGAGCCACACAGAGCAATGTCTCCCCAACAGTAAACCTACACTGATACTAAATTTTAGATGCTAACTTGGTAACCATGAACTCAAAGAGTTCAACAAGATGGGCTATGACAATGCCAGCACACTGATGTGGGGCCAGGTATAAACCAGCATTCAGAACAGCCACTGAAACACTTCCAGAACTGATGTGTCCATCTGTGGCTCTCTATGAATAAGGGCATGTTCAAAAAGCAACAGAAAGTTATATATGGCGCCAGGGCTCATCTAATTTTTGACACTTCCTCCACACTTCTTTGGCTCAGGCCTAATTTCAGACCTGAGAGCTCTGAGCAGAGCCAGGCTGTCTCCAACTTCCATCAATTGACTGCCTTTGCCAGCCTTCAGAGGCACTTCCTTTGAGGGGTACAGTACAAGTAACCAGGAAGTCCTGGTAATATTACCACGCCCTGCCACTCTTGCCAATTTGCTCCAGCTTATTGTAAGGTCACCAATCCCAGACCTACCCTATCCTCTCTGAGGACAAGTCTGTGTTCTTCCACACACTGAGGGAAATGCCAGCAACCTGCTGTCATTTTCTGATTTTCTCAAGCGCACTCCTAGGACTTAAGCTGCTTCAAATGGGCAGAGTGCTACCAGAAGACAGCCTGCTATGGAGACACTACATTTTCTCGTCTGAGACAGAGGATAGACCCTATGTTTAAGGTCATCGTTATTTTTTTGTGACCTTCTGTTGCCTCTGGATGGAGATGCCATATCCATAGTGCTTATCATGATCTGTGCAGGGCCCTGCATGAAATGTGTTTATCAGAACTGTTGGGAAGCAGGACCCACTGTTCTAGAACCCCAAGCCCACAGCTCAACTCTTTCCTTGTGTGTGAGCTCAAGAGGGGCATTCGCTTGATCTGTGCCCCTGTGAGCTGGCAACCTACTTTGAGGAGCACAACAGCTTTACACCCAGCCTTCCATATCACATGTAGCTCTGAAGGAGTTATCTGGAGGGGATGCACTCCGCTGATAGCTACTATTATCTCCCTAGCCAGGAAGCTAAGGATCTTCCATCATGGTGAGATGAGATGGAGCGACCAAACTTCCAAAAGCAGAAGAGGGGAACTGAGCTGAGGGTGTTATTCATGGATCTTTAAACCTTTCCAGAAGTAGCTAAGAGGGTCAGGGCTAGGCAGGGGGGAAGCTGAAGAACTAGGTAACAAGGCCAGAGTGGGAGGAATGGTGACCTACCCCTTCTATTACTCAGGTTGCTCAGGGGTGCTGTGGATTAGCACTGCAGGTTGTCTCCCAAAAGTTAATGGCATAAGAAGTGAGGGGATGGGTGGGATCTCCTGAGAGGGGCTTAAGGCCAGCTCACTCTCAGAAGATTGTACTCCTGGCGGAGACTGTGGGCCTGGCTTCTCAAATAGAAGCTGCTTGAGGATGGGCCTGTTTGAGCTGTAAGGCCTGTCAGCTCCTCAAGGTCAGTTGCCTGATGGGAGGAGGGCAGGCCACCTGTCCCATGAAGTCAAGGAGGGTGGCTTCACTCTAAGGGCCGGTTTTGGTTGTGCCCTCAGTGAGAAGGCTGATGGCCTGGAAGTCAATACCAAAGGGCCTTTGGGGGTTCTCTGAGCTTTCCCAGGCCAAGTCCTGGACCAAAACTATCATGTGAGAAACAAACATGGGCTCAGTATTCAGGGAAGGTCAGCAGTGCAAGGTACAGGATGGGGCAGTACCAGTCTCCATCCCCAGTGGCAAAGTGCCAGGATCCCTTCCACAAGAACCTGGGAGGGTGTGACCCTTTCTTCTCCTTGCTCAGTACTTAACTATGAAAATGGGGGCCTGCCTGGGCTTCCTCCTCTCAGAGCTTCTTTCTACTAGAACTTCCTTCCTCACCAACCACCTCATTGTCCTCCCCATCCCATGCCTTGTGGCATGTATCTTTGGGTTTCTGTTTCCAGTGAGGGCTTACGTTGGGAGGTGCTGTGCACATTTCACAGACAGAAAAAAAGGCAACACACAGTGATCGAGAGCAGCTGTGTCTGCAGAGGGATGGTGACAGCTTGTGCATGGTGCAGGTGGGCCTCTGCCAAACTCTGGCCTGAGTCCAGCAGGTGGTGGCAGTGGACGTATGGAATACCTAAGGAGAGGAGGAAGGGGTAGATACAACATTGTAGGGCAAAGGGCTGTGGTTTGGTGGTTGGGAGTAGCCATTTATCAAAGGTCTGCTGTCTTCAGGAGGCCAGAGAGAGTGGGTCTTCAGACTGTTGCAGGTGTCTCTGCCCCAAGGCAGTGGCTTGCAGTCAGAAGTGCAAGGCCACTTCTCAATCCTTCATTCACAAAGAATCACAGATTCCAAAAGGCAGTACACACTATCTTCTAGTTTCCGAATGTTCCAGACATTTGGAGAACAGACTCCTTTTAGAAGCTGCCATGATTTTTCTTGGCTTTTATTAGCATGAGTTAAAATCATATTATCCAAACACTAAAAGAAGAACATGTACTGTTCTGAATAAAGTGCTTAAGGAAAAAAATGCAACTTATTAAATTGGACATTCTTTTCTAGTTCATAAATTTTGGGTTACAATCAGAGCACAAAAGGAGAACAGAATGCAGTATTAGAGCAAGAAGCTTAGCTAAGAACCTGGGCAGTAGACACAAGACCATGTCCCCTTCTTCCTACTTCCTTGCAGACTGAACACTGCACCTGTGTAAAGCAGCAAACAGCTTTGTTTTAATAAATACATTTCCTTTCATTCATTCAAATCAAAAAAGTTAATTATCATAAAGCACTTTTTATTTGCCCACTGTTTTTAGTTACAGGCAAGATTTATCCAGAGTTGAAGTGTGAACATGTTATTTCTTTGGATTTTCGGCTTTCTAATACTATTTATGTTCAAGATTGTCTCAGCATTCATTATTGGTTTCATTATATTTACCTGGTACTCTTCAACACCAACATTAGAGTGTTTTGTGTTACAAATGCCAACCAAGAATATTTTCTGCTTACTAGAAACAACAACGAGTGGGCCTAAGTAAGGCTTTATTTCCAATATATTAGGTTTTCTTGAAACTGTTTTGCTCACATTAGTACTCTGTATCTGCATCAAACCCACATTCCTATTATGACAGACTTTAAAATCTGTCAAGTTCTGAAAAAATAACAACTTGGAAATCTGTTTGACTCTTGGGTGGTCATGTTGAGAACATAAGTACATTTCAAAAATATTATTTGCAATCAGTCAGATTTAAATCTTCCGAGGAAGGTGCATGTTGGTGATGGGGCAGCTGCAATGTGAGCAACCCATCAGGAGTGGCTGGTGGGTAGGCATGGGGTCCCCTCAGTGGCACACACTCACCGTAAGCTTCTGGACTGCAGATCTCACATCATGGCCTCAATGCCTCTAGTTTCCTTCTAGCAAAGGGAAAAGGAAGGCTGGTTCTACCTTTAAATAGTCAAGCACAAACTGTTGAGTTCAACTGGAAGCTGACCCAGAAGCCAGAGAGGAGGTGCCAAGCAAAGGGCTGTAGAAGGGCTAAGCAGTACTCTCTGTAAAAAGCAGTCATCTTCAGTCATCCTGGAGAGATTCCTTCCTCTCAACTTGAGTCATTTTAGCTTCATGCAGGAAAAGTTCTTGGATCTCATTTGACAAAAGCACACCATTCAGCATTCCTGAGCAATTAGTATAAAATTTGCTGAGATAGACAGCTTTCCAAACTACCTTGTTCTTGCTTCTTCCTACAGATGTGTCTGCAGAGCACTCTAATTTCACAGTGATACATATTTCAGGAAGCACAAAGTGATCTGACTTTATTTCCAGAAAGTGACAACCTACATTTAGTTTGGGCATAAAGTTCCACATCTAAATCCTGCCAGATACTGCCACATCAATGTTAGGATTTAGCATAGCTCTAAGTGCCCAGTTCCTGTCAGGAGTAGCTCATTGGAGTCATGGCTGGGCTTTCACTATCAGTAGTTAAATTTCCCTTTGATGTTTTACAAAACCCATGGTGGTTCTGTCACCTCTTTCCACTCCACTCCACCCTGTTCTTCTGACTTGGAAGCCTGAAAATTTATTGAAATAGGCTGAGAAAAGGCTCTGTATCTGCTAATATTGATGGCAGTAAGATGCTAGCAGTAAGATGCTAGCTTACTACTTTGCACAGCACCATGTATAGTGCCTGTTATTCAGGCTAACTATAGCCAACTTTTTCTTTTTTTGTTTTTGTTTTTATAAAGAAAATCTATGTAAGTTGAGGTTCAGAAGTGCATATATATATATTTTTACTTACAAATATTCATCTGACCAAAATTCAACATAACTTTTATGGAACACTAAACAATTGTTTCGTTTTTAAAATAACATTTCATTCAAACTGTATATAATTCAGTAAAGTTTTTTTTCCTTTTTTTTTTATACAGCAAGCGATGCTTAAACCCTGGAAAATCTGTAGAAAAGAGATTTTCACACGAAGTAAGAAAAGAAAAATCTGAGGTATCCCTCATCCACACATCCACTCATTTTGACTCACATGTACACACACACACACACACACACACACACACACTCTCTCTCTCTCATTCTCACTCACAAAGTGGCTGCAGCATAGGCAAAAAATTGTAGGTCCAAAGGAAAATGATTGATTGTTCTAATAAAGAGTCCAGGTAGCTCAGAAAAAAAACAAAACAAAACACAGTCTTCTGAGGAAATTACTACCTCAAAAAATGTTCTCAAGATGAATGAGATCTAAGCCTACTAAATTGCTTTTGCAAAACAGCTCCCTGCAGTCCAAGGTGACTTGTGCAAATAGAAGGAATCAAACGAGGCTAGTTCCTGTACTTCCTTAAACAAGGACGTGGGGTGCTCGCATGTGTCCAGGCTTGCTCCCATCATGCCAGGTACTGCTGCAGTGCTGTCTTTGCCCTGAAATCATGAAATCACAAAACTCCTGTTAGCCATCAGCTCAGAAATATAATTGAAGCCAAAAAAAAAAAAATCTGGCTTGATGGTAGTTGAGGGGTTCTAAGAAGGCAAATTTTTCTGAGAAAGGGATAAGCCCAACTTGGCACCTTAAGGGTAGACAGTTATAGATAGAAGACAGTTTGGCTATATTCTTCCTGTGGTTCTCTTGGACAACCGTTCTTACCCTTAAACCTGCTGTAGCTTGGTGACAATCTGCATTCTCTTGTACTTGCTGATGTTCTATACTTACTTTTCCTTTGTCACTAGCATGTACTTGTAAATCAGTCTAGAATTCTTTGCTTTTTCTTACTGCCATGTAGGTTTCACTGTGATGCACAACAGTAGGGAAGGACACTTAGGGTTCTGAATGCTAAGAAGGAAATCTGACCCAGGAAAAAGTGTCGATGAGATGGCCGGAAGGGACCAAGAGACCGTGGGATGAGGCTGTGTGCATGGTTCAAATGTCTCACAATGGTTCAAGGTTACAATTTCATTTTGTTCTTTTCACTGCTCTTGATGACACCATCAAAGATCAATGTAGAAAAAAAAAAATCCATGTGGGACATGGACTGTTGTAAGTATGAAAAAAAGGTGGGTGGGTAAAGAGGAAAGCTTGTAATATGAACAGTGCCTATCCCAGTCCTTGTAAGAGTAACCTCCTTTAAGCTGGTCCTGAAAATGCATCTGTGGAATTATCAGTCAAGTTTTAGCAATGACCTCCCCTTTTACATTACAGAAAGAAAAGAGTAAAATTTTCAGAAACGATTAGCTAATGAAAATAGTACCAAGTATGGGCCAGGGATTTAGCTTAGTGGTGCCACCACCTGCCTCGCCAAAAAAAAAAAAGTACCAAGTAGACTGATAAGCTATATGCAAGTGTTGGATTCAGGTATGGCTTCTGTAATGAAGTAAATGGACATAATCTACAATTTTTAAAGTGGTACATTAAGGAGTATTCTTGCAATTATGTAAGATTCTATAAAGATTACAGTTGTGATTAGTCCAAACCATCTGAACAGAAAGTGCTAGATCTGGGCAAGCTGGGTTCTAGAAGGACACTTTCAAAAACAAGATTATGAATGATATCATAGTTACCCCTTAATGACCATCTATCTACCTCCCAAAACCTATGAAGAAGCTTATGAAGAGCAGTTGTGGTGGAGGTGGGAACCCCATACCCCTGCAGATCAGGGGCCCTCTAAGCTTAGGATGGAGAATACTAGTTAGTTATAGCTCCTCAACTGGAACCCAAGAGACATGTTAGATGTCATAATGGAAGTGTTACCTAAGGGTCTTGACTGAAATCCTGTATCACTTTGAAACTGCCAATTCAAATTTCTTCTAGATTTTACTCAGAGGTTGGCTACATTTGATTATTTTGGGGCTCAGAAACTATGCCCTTATATTTTGATACTATCATCATCTAAGGAGTCTTTCAGATGGATGGTTTTGGAAGCAAGATCACCTTTTCTTAGATGGTCTTTTTTTTTTTTTTTTGGTACCAAGGATTGAACTCAGGACCTTGTACTTGCAAGGCAGGTGGTGGAACCACTGAGCTAAATCCCCCGGCCCTTTCTTAGATGGTCTTAACGCTGGACAGGTCACAACTTGAATCTCCTTCCTCTCTTTTTCCTTTTCTTTTCTCTCCTTCCTTCCTCCCCACCCCTTTCCTTCCTGCTAGTAAGGACTGAACCCAGGGCCTTTGCATGAAGCTACTGTACTGGAAACTTATGTGCCATACAATTTTGGGGAACCAGCACGATTGTTTTAAAGCAATGCAGTCTGTTTTTTTTTTTTTTTTTTTTGGTACCAAGGATTGAACTCAGGACCTTGTACTTGCAAGGCAGGTGGTGGAACCACTGAGCTAAATCCCCCGGCCCTTTCTTAGATGGTCTTAACGCTGGACAGGTCACAACTTGAATCTCCTTCCTCTCTTTTTCCTTTTCTTTTCTCTCCTTCCTTCCTCCCCACCCCTTTCCTTCCTGCTAGTAAGGACTGAACCCAGGGCCTTTGCATGAAGCTACTGTACTGGAAACTTATGTGCCATACAATTTTGGGGAACCAGCACGATTGTTTTAAAGCAATGCAGTCAGGGCCCACACCTACCCCACTGCATGCTGGTGAGGCATTTCTTTTAGCATTTTAGATCACCCCAGGAACTATTTTAAATAGATTTGTTTTCACTTCTTAATAAGTATGAGAAAAACCTCCAGTGACTCACAAGGCTCTCAACGAGAAGAGGTGGGCTGACAGAGCCTATCAACTAAGCCAGAAGCTGCAGAAGGGTGGCAAAGGGTCCAGTCTTCAAATATAAATTTAAGTCCAGCCTGCAGAATGTAGCTGGCCTTCACTTGCCTCTGATATCACACTCATCTGACCAGCAGCCCGGGGCTCTTCTGGTTATTCAAGAACTTGTCTTCTCTGACCTACAGGACAGGAAGCTTCAGGGAACAGAAGACCAGCCTACTCTGTGTGCTCCCGAGTCTGGGATAGCTGTTTAATTGAGAAGCAGTTATAAGTACCTCCTCCCTTCATCAGAGAAGACAGATGAATTAACAGCTAAGATTAACAGCTAAGATGCAGTATGATGTGTTCTATACGTGCTATGACAACACAGTGGGTTCCTGGAATAGCCTGTAGGGAGAAGAAGCCGGTCAAGCAAGGCTTTTGGAAAAAGTGACAGCCTGATCTGAGATTTGAAGAATGAATGGCCATTGTCTACTAATTCTCTTCCATTGCTTTCAGGACACCTTATGTGCCTAGGTCTCTTCTTACTACACTGGTTGTTCCTTCTGCTGATCTTTCTCATCTTTCCCTAAACATGGGAAGGCTTCAAATCTTGGTCCCTAACACTCCTCTTTCCCTTCACTCTTACTCTTGTTCAGTGACTTCAGCTAGCTCCATGGCTATAAATACTTCCCAAATCTCCTATCCCACTCTCCCCTGAATCCTTTGGGTATACAGTGGGTATAATAAAACTGGCATATCCAAATAAAAACTCTTAACTGTCCCCATCCCTTCCCTTATGGTCCTCACCATTTTGTGGAACTGCAACACTCTCAATCCAGTTGTTCAGGCTAAACGTTAGGCACTTTCCTTTCCTCTCTTTAACATCCTACCTTGAATTCATGAGCAAGCTGTACTGGTTCTATCTTCAGATTAAATTCTGAACCTGATCACTTCTCAATACTTCCATCATGCCTAACCTCACCTTTTACCAACATTATTGCATACCTTTTATCTGTTCTCCCTGCCTCCATTACTGCCCTACTACAGGTGATTCTGTACAGAGTCACCGAGACTTTTAAAAATTCAAATCAGATAATGCCTCCTCTGTTCAAAGCACTCCAATGACTTCCTATTAAACTCTGACTAAAAGCCAAAGCTGCTACTACAGCCTACAAGGTTCTTCATATTCTAGCTCTTTCCACCTATGACCATGCTCTCCCTCACTGGTTTTCTTTTTTTTTTTTTTTTTTTTTTTTTTTTT